TCTACGGCATTCCCAAGACATAGCACGAGCTCTTTCTTCGCGCCGCGCATCTGTACCTCCCAGCGGCCCTTAGTTGCCTCGTTGAAGGTGAACAGCGACACCGCAAGCTCCGCTGGCGGCAAAGAGTGCGCTCGTGCCATGTGTCCGTCTCCGGGCTTGGGACTTACCACCCACTCTCGCACCTTGTCGCGCGCGATCGTGACACGTCGCACAACAAGGGGAAGGAGCTTTTGTATGACTTCCAGGCTCGTTATTTGCTGTACTTGCTTCAGCTCAGTCCCAGGTACGGTGCCCACTGGGACTGACGTCCACTTCGGGATCTCATCGAGAACGCCGCGCTCAGCCAATATTGTCAGAAGCCGCAGCAGTGCGACGGGTCCTGAAATGGCTTGTTCTGGGACAATGCACGTCGGCTCGGAGGGATAGTCGGCGACATTCGCCCAGACGGCTTTACGGTACGCGTCTGTTGTACGTTCGCTTTGCTCGCAGATCTCGCGGTGGCTCCGCGGTACGAAGTTTTCCAGCGACTTCTTCAGCGAACCCTGACTGGCGAGGTAGGCAACGCGGAGAAAAGAGATCAGTTCGCCGTCAGAAATATTGTCTAGATGAGTAATGGCAGATATCAAGCGGAGCATGGAGTTTCTTGATTGGCCTGATATACACTGTTAGGTTGTCATTTGTGCCAAAGAAATGCAATCACCTCTAGAGTCATAGATCATCTTTGTCGTGTTCTCGTTCGGAGGGACGCCGTAATAATCGGTGACGACGCGAGATATCTTCCTAAAAAAGTTATTCAGGATATAGCCCATTGTGGGGAAGTCTTCTCTACTGGCCTGTCCACGTCAGGGAAAGTCTCACTATCGAGCCTTTTGAACACAGTAAGAATTCGTTGAACCCAGCTCGGTCGGGAAGTGAGGATCTTTAGAGCTTCGATCGTCGCCTTGTATTCCTCGTACAGTTCATTTTTGCCTTCATCTGGTACAGGGAGCTGTACCCCAGGGATCGTCCGTCGAGGAAATTGGAACAGGAGAGCAAGAGTTTCGGAGGCTGACAAGCAGACTGTCAGACTTCGAACGCATATGATCAACAAACAACTTTACCTAGCTGATCTATCTGGACCTCTGGGTATGCAACGGGTTGGGGAAGGGCAGCAACATCAAGGAGCAGATCCACAATGACTGGACGAGCCTTGAGGACATCCAGATAGTATTGGCGGGAATGAAGGGGATAGCGAGAAAGGATGCCATACGCGGCGAACATAGCAAGTTCTTGGGCCATGCCGTACCATCTTTGGCCATATGCTACGCCCATTGGGCGCGGGACCTTACATGACATGCGATAGTAAGATTGACAACAATGTACATGAACTCTGCGATGGACACACCGTGAGACGATTGGTCATTATCGCAATCTGCCAGGTCTCGACCGGTTGGCGCATCTGCTACATCCACCTAGTCTCGTCGTCCCGTGTTCAGCTGGCTAAGAATTCAACAAGATCTGCTGCAGACTCGGGAGACAAAATCTCAGGAAGAAACAAGTCTGAGGCGACAGCTCGCAAGACACGGATAGCAATATACTTGTGCAAGTTGTAGTTGTGCCCCCAGATCATCTGCGAAGCGTGCAAATGAGTACATATATGCGCATATAACGCGACGCTCAAGCTCACCTTCACGAGTGTATCTAGTGCATTGCACTTGACGCATCTCTCGAATAGTATCCGACGTTGCTTCAGTGTAGACACGGTACAAAGATAGCACAAAGCGTCCAAGGCGTTGAAGATCGCGATCCAGCACGTATAGTTGATAGGCTGAAGTGCAAGCTCCATGAATGTCTCCCAAACACCCGCTTCGACACAAGCTTCTGCGAATGCATCCCATCCCCGAGGAACACAGAAACAGGACATGCAGTATTGGAGAAACTTCTGCCTCAACCATGCCTAACGTTGCAAGTCAGCGCTCTCGTAAGCATGCAAGCAAAGCTGAACGTACGACATAGTCTTGCACCCAGTCCTGCTGCTGTTCTGCCGGCTTTCGGAGTCTCCTAAATATCTCTGGAAGGTACTGCTTGGCTTGTCGCACAGGCAAGCAGTAAATCTCGCGGGCATTCTCGCGCGTGAGCTCCATGGCGGGCAGGGTGAGAGGGGATGTCGCGCTCACGAGGCGAGCAATTTACTCGCGTTGTGGTCGTGTGTTTGGCATGCGCCATCAGCTTATGTAAACGTTTGGATGTCAAATTCGTCAGGCGGCAGCAGGCGGGAGGCGCATCAAGCGACGGCGGTCCAACAAGGATATTCAAGCACGTATCAAGGTCAAATCCACTCAACCTTACTATTCTTGTGCTCTACTCTAAGCCACGTCTACCCACTCAACATCACCTGACATACCCAAGACCCGTGCCTGGGAGGCGAAGATCTCTTTGAACGATTCTTTGAGCTCCTTGTGAATGTAGAAGGTGATCTCGACATCATCTTTGGGTCGTCTGTTCCATGTCCCGTCCGGCTGTCGTGTTGGGTTAGGCTGAAACATCTTCACGAATCGTGGCTCGTCCAGGACCGTATGGAAGAATCGCGTTTGGTCAGGGAATCCGAAATGCGCCGAAGTCCAGTCGAAACTAAGGTTGTCACGCGAGATCAGCCACAGCATAGTGAACGAGCAATATATTCAGCGCTCACCGCCAGGTTGAATTCACCACCATGTGTCCCGGCCGCTGTATAAAATCCTGGGCAAGCT